TTTTTCTAATCGATGTCTATATCGCCCTCCATTGAATATGAGCAAAACCATCTTAATCTATTATCTCTAAACTTATCCTCAATTGAAACTACTCCTATCATTTCTCTAATACGGTCATTTTGTATTTTATCATTTCTAGTTTTTCTACACATCCACCTCAACATTCTCATTTCCGCTACTCTCATTTTGTCACTATATTGTTTCTTAGTTGCCCAACATTTCGTCCCATAAAACATTAGGGTCCCTTATAGCTGTTCGACTACGAACATGCAATGGTAACTAAAATGTTTGGGGCAGGAGATACAAGAAATACTGATGGTCTCTACAATAAACATTTGCACCAGCTAGCGTCTGTTATTGTAAGTAAAATAAACATCAACTCATGCAAAATCGTAACCAGCTAAATGGTCAAATTTTGAATTGCCATGCTAGGGTCCATGATCAAACATCACAAATGCACATTAAATTCTACCAAATGGACAGCAATTCAACTCCAAATGAGACACGTTTCAAAATAAAGTTGGAAACTATAGCCCCACACTAGCTTCTTGGAAATAAAATTGAATCGGACAAAAAAAAGGTCTAAATTTAGACGGACCATCACCAAAAACTAACTTACAGAAGAGCACCAAAGTGTTGACAGTGTAGCTAAGTTGGACCATTGTTCATTTAATGCAATTACTCAAACTATGTCCATAGGTAATAATTCATCCACCATGTGAACAGTAAAAAGTAATCAACAACTACAAGACAGGAAATGCATTAATTAAGTAACCTTTTTCATCCCGGCAAATGCGAGGAATCTATTCCTAATTCAATTTCTTCCTTTTTCTTTCGCCAATCCTGTTTCTCTCTTAAACGGTTTCGAACGAAAGCAATAATAGAAAGGGAAAATAAGAGGAAGAAGAAGAAATATTAAGCCACAAATTCAAATATCCAGTGACAAAATTAAACGAGTATAGCAACAGCGTTCGAATCTACTATATTATTATGCATCAATCAAGTAAAAATTACCTGAAATCTGCAGATATAGTAATCATCACCAAAGCGAGCTCTCAGCGAAGGTACTGGCTTCCTAGAAGGACTCCTAGGGTGGAACACAACGCTTGTGTTAACCAAGGCCTTAATCCGATCAGGCCGGAACAAGCAGAAGTACCAGGCCATGACTGCGCCCCAATCATGACCGACCAGGAACGCTTGGTCCAGCCCCAGGGCGTCAAGCAAGGCCACCAGATCCCCCACTATGTGGAAGGCGGTGTAGCTGGTGGCGTAAGGCGGGACGTCGGTGTCGCCGTAGCCACGGAGGTCCGGGGCGATGGTCCGATAGCCTTTGGAAGATAGAGAGAGCATCTGGTGGCGCCATGAGTACCAAAGTTCAGGGAAGCCATGGAGGAACAAGACAGCTGGGCCTTCACCTATCTCTGCTATGTGCATGTTTATTCCATTTACATACAGATTTTTATGCAGTATCTTCTCCATGTCTGAGTATCTCTCCCTCTCCTCTCTCTCTCTCTCTCTCTCTCTCTCTCTCCTCTCTTCTCTCTTCTCTCTTCTCTCTTCTCTCTTCTCTCTTCTCTCTCTCTCTCTCTCTCTCTCTCTCGTTCACTCGGTTGATAAGATAGTGGTTATTAATTTTTGTTTTCTTTTTGTGGAAGGTTTGCAAATAGAGATGGAACTACAGGGATGTTTTGCGTGATTTCATAAAGAATGAAAGTGACTGCGGAATCACCTTTCCTAAACAACTATAATTATGATGCAACAGGTACCCCTAAATGACTATAATGCCCTTGAACTTATTTTGGATCATGAAATAAACATGTAGGTTTGCGTGATGTCAAGAGCTCAGTTGGATGGATAGCCGTATCGAACTCTCTCGTATAGTTCTCCAGTCTCTGGCGGCGAAAGACAAGTCTTTACATAAATAGTGTATCTGGCGGCGAAAGACAAGTCTTTATATAAATAGTACAGTGTATGAGTCGAGGGATTACTTCGTATATCTAAATTGTGACATAAACTCGTCTACACTCGTTGAGGACATATTATAAAATTTTCCAGTATCCGAAGATTTGCGTGATTTCACATAACCAAATAATATTGAATATGTTTGGAATTAATTTATTTGGTGCGAAATAAAAATTTGAAAAGTGAAATAAAAAAATTAAAATTAAAATAATTTTAGAATTGTTTGAAACCGTGTTTTCGAAAAAATTGATTTTTTCTTGAAAATTTTTAGATAAATTCTATTTCTTAACTTTTTCTTGGTATAAATAAAAGTTACTTTTTGGTCAAAACAGACCAAACTTATTTTCCCGTTAAAAAAAAAAAAACCTGCAGTTTTTTGCCGGATCCAAAATAAGCCCATTGTCTCTCGCAAAATAGGTCAACCACCTACATAATCGAAACTAAGATTTTATTGTGTGTTCTAAATGTGGAAGAGTAATTTTTATTTTATCAAATTATCGTAATTATAGAAATTCGCATGATAATAATTATATGTCCCACCATTACACCTGATATTTTTTTCTCATTTTCAACTCCGATCGGTTGACTAGTCACCACGACAATTCTAGAAATTATACATAATTATAAGTGTTGGCAGAATTATTCATATTTTTGCAGACGAACCCCTCCCCTGAATTGTACCATCCGTCCCTGCTCATTGGCAGGACCTGATAGAACTTAAAGTTGCATCATTGTGATGAATGGTGCACTTGGCCATGCAATGAAAAATTCAACCGGATAAAAACAAAAAGGAATCCACTATCCTCAAAGAAACCAAAAAATATAATAATTATAATTGGGTAATTAATGGAATTTATATCAAAAATAAAATTATTATTGGAATCAAATTCTCAATAATAGTGAAAATTTTAAACCCAACTGGTAATTTCTGGATATTCTAAAAAAAGAAAAAAAAATTCAAATTCAAAATCTTTCCCAAAATTTAATTTGTTGTTAAAGTCCAACTATCTTCCTTAAATCATTTTTTTTACTAAAAAAATTAATGAAATAGATATCAAATCTTAAGCTAGATGATTGACCATACCAAACAATAAATAAAAGATTGCTATGATTTTTAAAATTCATGTATCACTTTACTTTACTTAGAATAAGATACTCATTCTCAATTAAGATTACTTCATTTAGACGAGACCTTATAAATAATTCAAATAATAATATAAACGAGCTATAAATTTATGCGTCCTAATTTTAAATCTTGATAAAGACATGAAAAATTTGTCTTCAATTAGATTTAAAAAAAAATTAATCAAGATACAAGCAAATTAGCATGAATACTCTTGAGCATCGAACTGAAAAAAAAAAAAAAAACAAACCCACATCATTTTCAGATAGCAACTAAGCCAAAAACGACTCCCTACGGACCTACATATGATACGGTAACCTTATGAACCCAATGGCCCACCGGATGTTGCCATTTATCACTCTATTAAGGATGTGGTGGGGTTGAGTTAGTAGGTGTGTGAGAGATAGTATGCTACATTTCTGCAGGTGATCCTCCCAACTACCAGTCATCACTATTTGTTCCTTCTTGAAATAGTCCGTGGGATTACTAAGACATAAACCCCCTCCCCATACTTAAAATCACAGCAGCATCCATTTCCATCTCCTCTACTTGCAAAACTTCACCGGCAAATAACTGCCATCTTTAGAAAGATTCGACCACGGTTCCAAAAGATAACTTTTTTTTTTGTAACTTCAATTAAGGTATAACTTCCAAAAAATTGTAAATGAACCAATATCCCTTTTGATTTGGTGCCGTAGTCAAATCCTTTTTAGCCAGCCATGCAAGAAAGGAGTCCCTAGCATATGTGAAGGACCATTCCATGAAGCAAATGGGAAATTTCAGTCCAAGGAGCACAAGCCCAATCTGTCTTATAATCCAACATCAACACATCTCAAATACATGTCATATTTTAGGCACATTACTCAATTGGGGCAACAGTATCAAGTTCAAAAAATGGAACCAGAGCACATTCAAAATTCAAATGTATGCATTCATGTAATTTCAAGCTCTGACAGACCAAATTATCCAGAGGGAGAAAATGCTGCTAAAGAACTGACCATAATGTCAAACCAAAGGACGGAAAGATCAAAAACAAAAATGGTATGGGATAATAACAAACAGATAGAGAAAACCTTGAATAAAGAGTTTAGAGGATCCGTCTGCCTCCCAAGCATCATTGACAACTCAAACCCTGAAGCCTCTGCTGTTTCTTCTTCCCCTAGCCCTCTCAAATTTCCTTCCCTTTGAACGCACATAAGGCTTAGTGTGGCTGTTAGGCACACCAGGAGCCTTACCAAAGTGCTTCACTGCTTCACGAGCATTCTTCGGTCCTCTAAGCAGCACCTGCAGCACAAGGCCAGATAGATCGGCATGACTAAACCAATTTCCTCACACTACTACTCCAATAACGCCCTTATTAGAGAAAATAATTCTTTTGTACTACAAAAATAATCAACATTATAATCCATATCGGACACAACAAAAGAATTCTGAGTGGTGATCAGCCCTGGTGACAAGAATACTAATCAAACCGACTCCTACAGTGGCCAAGAATACTTTGGTAAAAAAGCAAATGAATTTGGAAATTTCACAAGCATTTGTATTGCTCAAGCACAGTTCTGCCGGAGAAGGGTTACGAAAACAGAAAACCATGTGAAGCCTAAGAAGAAATAATATTAAATGAAGGATCTAAAATCCTTGCTATGATACTACACCCAACATAGTAAACCAAGAATGAAAAAAATAGCACACTCACAGCTACCATTATAACTATTTGATTTACAGAAACGAAGACATAAAACATGCAAACTAATTTAAGACACATCATGTTCCACATGATAAGCAATATTTACTGATATTCTACCACATCCAGGTTTCCTATTTACACCAAGAAAATGCATGATAGACACCTGCAAAGCTGCAACTCATACATCACCTAATCTCACATTTGAAATATTTTTGGCAACTAAGACAGGCTACAACTATTCTTCCAAACATTCACAGAACAACAGGGAAAAAATCATTTACAGGGTTTTATTGAAGATTATGTCAAAACATTTGAAGACTATCTTTTGTTTGTTTTCCATAATGAATACAGAAAAAAGAATGTTGTTAATGCAGAGCATGGAAAATTAACCCTTCAGCATTAGACTATTGAGTAAAATTACAATTACAGTGAAACATAAAATATTTCCAAGATAAATAACTGAAACTGTGCATACCAATATATCAGCTTATATAAGCATCATTATTGAACAATAGACATGAAAAAAATAATATTTGGAACTCTTTTTTACATTGGAAACAGATTCTACTTGTTCCTCATTTTGATTTCCAGGATACAAATCAATAAAAGTTTTCCTTCTAACAATAACAAAAAAAGAATTATCAAATTCAAACTTGATATATGAATGCCATTTGATAATTATTCTAAAAACCATGACATACTTAAACAACAGCTTGAGCCAAAAAGAATAGTATGCCAAACAATGATCTGTTACAACAAATTTTCATCTATCAACAATTGTGTGTTACCACACAAGGCCAGCTACAAGAATGCAATGGACACAATATCTGAAGAAGAAAAAGAAAAAAAAAATGATGACTTAGTTTACTCCTGGAGTTCAATGATTCAGCTGAACAAACTCTTCAAATTTTACGATACATTGAGAAAATGCCATAATGCAGCCATGATTAAAAAATGCATACCGTGTTCTGACCAAGAGGAGCTCTAAGAGCCAGCTGATCAAAAGTCAAGCATTCTCCACCAGCCTTCTCAATTCTGGCCCTTGCTCTCTCCGTGAACCTTAGAGCTGTGACCTTCAGAGGCGGAACTTCATAGACTCGAATATCATCTGTGACTGTCCCAACAACAACCGCAATCTTGTCCTCCTGTTTGACAATGAACTAACAAATCAATTCAAACTAAATTACCGGACACAAAAGGCTAAAATAAGAAGTCTTAATTCATTGTAAACTAAGCAAATATTTTTAAATATGGATGCCATTTCCCTTTTCCTCGAGAGTCTCTCCCACATCAAGATAAAAAATCGAAGTTCATCATTTATGCAACCAAAGAGGTCAATAATCAACTAATTTCCCCATTACAACTGGCTCAAGTTTACTTTAGATGAGATTCTCCAATTTTTTAAAAATTGATAACACCACACAATAGAGATATTGCTGCATTCCTCTGGTACTATTTTCCGTTGTTCTCTTTTCTAAACAAATAAATTATATGTGTGTGTATATATATACACACACACACATACACAGAGAGAACAGGTTACCTTTGCCTGCATGAAACGAATCAAGCGGGACACAGAGAGGGCGGGCTTGTTGATCTTGCTCATGAAGAGCCGCTTCAATATCACAGCATTGAACTTGCTTCCTCCAGTTCTCCGAACGAGAAACCGGTACAACTGATCACACAAACAAACACCACAATCTTCAAATCACTGCCGAGTATACAGACCACTAAACATACAAAAAAAAAAAAAGATGTACATAGATGTGGGAAGAGAAAGAAATGGAGGTGGGAAAGACCTTGACAAGGAGCTTGAGGTAAATATCATCAGATTTGGGAGCAGTTCGTTTCGTCTTCTTGACCTTACCTCCGGCGACCAGATCGATACCCTATCATATGAAAATTACCAAACAACAGTTTATGATCGAATGAGAGCTAGAGAAAGAAATGGTGAAGGCGTTGTAAGGTTCATCGGCGAAAGTACCATTGCTGCTGCTGCTGCTCAACGCCGCGCCTGCTGACACCAGAGAGATAGGGAGAGGCAGGCTAGGGTTTGTGTACCCATGCTTTATTTCGTTAGGGCAAAGCAAGGTGCTAGAAACGGGTCGGACCGGGTCAACGTCCATGGTGGGCTATTGAGTGGCCGGAAAACCATGTCTTCAATGGGCTGCCCATCGAGCGAGGCCCTAGATTCTGTTCAAAAAAGGGCAAATTGTGAGAAAATACTTCAATATATATTTTCTGTGTATAAATTTTTTTTGTATAAATGTTTTGTGAACAGATAAACTTTGGCTTTTTTTAAGATATTCATTTACATAAAATCTCTTTTCCTTTATTTATGGAAGATAATTTAGGTAGTTAATTGTGAGATTCAATTTTCTATGTTTTTTGGAACACCACTTTTGAATTTTGAATTACACCGTTCTATTTCATTTCAACGACTGAAAATTCTGCAAACACCACTCCTTTTATTCAGCGGTTACTTTGTTATTCACGTCGTAAACAACTTTTGATCTCTCATCAGTACCCATAATCGATTCCTGTTTGATTTTCATGTTATCCAATTAGAAAAACAATAGCAAAATATTCATACGATTGTTGGTTTAGGGATAACTCAAAAGTATCTATGTTGTTGTAGTAGATAAAGAACATCAGGTATGTCCTGGATAGTTTTTTTTATTTTTGAACAAATTTTTTTGTTGAATTTTTTTTTAAATTGTAATGAGGAATCGTTGTTTTCACCTTTAATACAATAGGGTGTTTTGGTGTTTATTTTTTTGCATGGGTTCTGTTTTTGAGTGTGTATATGAGTTGCAATTTTGGGAGTGTGTTTTCTTGTTGGGGTGCTGTTGGATACTTTCATTGTATCTCTTGTTATGTTGTTATGATTTTTTGAATTTTCCTTTTGCCAGGAATTTCAATGGAGTATACGATTTTGTTTTTATGCCGATTTGGTAACAAATGGTCAGTGATCCAAGTTTATAGACCTTCACTGTTTGAAAATGTTGTAAGTCAAGTGTATGATACATGGGAGTTATTACGGAATTTGTCAATAGGTTTGACATATTCAATTCCTGACCTTCCAAATTGTATTTTGAAAAATGACGAATACATGAAGACTGTTTGAAATGTTACGTTCTCTTAACATCAACCATATTGTTGTGAGGATATTTCTCCTTAATGATGAGTCACACATTAATGTTCACAATAATTTACTTAAAGATGTGCATAATCAGGATGATGATTTTGATTTGGATGAAGATTTGCTACCTCGCTATAGTCGAAATAACGAGAAAGTTCTTCGAGCACATATAGGAAGTCATATGTGAATATAATTTAACCAATTCCGACACTTGATCGTCCAGATGTTTCGCATGAAACAGTTCATATATTGTTGCCATCATCTAAGACTCAACCTGGATGTCCGAAAAAGCGTAGAATCAAGTCAAGGGATGAACTCATTCGATAAATTCGATGTGGTCGTTATGGGCGTATGGGTAGCCAGAACAAGAAAAACTGTAATGCACCATTGTGCTCTTTTTGTTTGAGATCTTAATGACATTTGTCGTTGGTGGTTTTTAAAATTTAGTTTTCATTGATAAATTGTATGATTTGTGTCAAAGAAATTGGTTTTTCGACATTTGATGTCAGACTATTAACATGTCTGCCACTATGCGATAAATGAAGTAGTGTTATCGCAATGTTAGAGTAACACTGTGACAACACACTTTGTCAAACTACAAGTTGCATGTGTACATGCAGTGTGACTTTCAATCAACGTTATCAAAATCGAACCTGCCAGTCCGACTGGTTCAACCGTGAACCAGGACCTTAACCGGTCAGGTTCCATAGTTAGATCGCTTAAGGAAGAGAACTGACGAAAAATCAAAAAATCAGTCGGTTTGTAAAAAACTGTGAACCGGCGAATTTTATAAAAATTAGACGGTTTAATGCCAAATCAAAAATTAAATTACATAAAATTAAAATCTCAAGCTTCTAGATCTTTTATTGCCCTAAATCGCAGAACTGCAATCCAAGCGACTGCGACCAGGCTCCAACGACCACCACCAAGGCTCCAGCGACTAGGCGACTGCGATCACCGATCAGCGGCCAGCAGCCAGGTGACTCTAGCGAACTCAGGTGACTGCGATCGATTAGCCACTACGATCAACCAGCCACTGCGATCATCGACCAGCAAACTCAGGCAAGATTTTCTTAATTTGGGTTTAATCTAGAAAGATTTTAAATTTGATATTAAGTTTTTTTTGGGCTATGTGATTTTCATTTAAAGTCATGGTTTATAGAGTAGTTTGATTTGGAGAAATAGTTCATGTTTTTTATTAAGGTTATTTGTTAATTATTGTTATGATAGAAATTTGATTTCGAATTACTAATTGTGTTCTTGATATGTTAATAGTCCATATTAATGATCTCTGTTTGTGATTATGTTGTTTCTGTTTAAACTTTAAAGTTGCATTTTGATCTTTAGTGCTAATTTGGTTGTTTATCGAACTGCAGTCATAAGGGATCATTGATGTTCCATAGCTAATGGGTAGTCATAAAATATTCAATTGAGTTTCTTTCAAGTTGTTTTTTCCATATATTGATTGGGTCTCATCGAATGGTTGGTTGTTGGAGTTTGTTACAGCCTACAAGTTTATAATTGTTTGGCAAAACACTTCATTCATGTTGTTTAAATTGCAACCGTGGGAACTGATTGAGTTAAATGAATTAGATTTTCGCTTAGTTAAATAAAGTAATACAAGACTTAGGGTATTTGTGTTTGGATACTTTTATCATACTTCTTATTTTCAATTTGGATACTTTTATCATTGTTCGTCTGTTAAATAAGGATTCACAAGGGAATAGTTATTGTCTATTTGTGATGATGTGTTCTTATATAAACTTTTAACTTCAGTAGGGACTCTGGTTTGGGGTTTGGACTTGAAGTGATTTTTCTGTTATGTACTTAGATTGGAGCTTTAAAATTCAACTTTGATATTTGGCATAGGTGTTTCTTTCACTTAAATTCATTAATTTTATGACAAATTGTATGTATTTTAAACATATTTTATATTTTTAGCTAAATTATTATATTTTATAATTATTATATATGACCGGTTCGACTAGTTGAACAAGTGAACCATTGACTCAGTCTCCTAACCAGTTCGATGACCGGTCCGGTTCTGATAACATTACTTTCAATTCACAATGTGATGATATAATCAATCAAATCTTGCATACTTATTTGTTTATGCAGTGTTACATTTGGTTATGTATTTTTACAAGCAATGTGACACCAATGTCACACTCCATTTCCAAACACCATACAGTGGATTTCACACTATGATAATCACAGTGTGTGTTTGAATCTTTATATAAAGTGTATATGCAATGGGACATTGGAATACCAGTGTGAGTCTATCCATGTGAAAAACTCTACATATTGTGTCTATATACAATGTGACAATGCTGCCATATTGTGATGCACACATTGTGTCACTCACCTGGTCACAATTTCATGTGTCAAAACCTGCATATGTTATGTGTATACAGTAGACATTGATGTCATGTTATAACACCCACAGTGGCACACCCATGTATATGTATTTTTATAACCATTGTGACATAGATGGTGCAGCCCAATGTCATAGTGGTACAACCCCAGTGTCACAATGGTACAACCTCATTGTCACAGTGGTATAGCCCCAATGTCACAGTGGTCTAGTGTAATGTCACAGTATTACAGTCTCAATGTCACAATGGTACACCCTGTATTTAAATGAGTGTATTAAATTATCATCAAGGATAACAAGATCGAATGTAAATAAAATTAAACATTATATTCATGATTCACTAATCACATTTACTTTGTATATGCCCAATTATAGTTTGAATAAACAATCATTTGTCTTGAAATTTGCCTTTCAATTCTTGTTGTTTGAAATCATCTTCTATCCAGGAATTTCGTTGATTCAGGAACATTGACAACATTTCTCTTTGAAAGTCTTTTGCTTGTTTTTGTGTTAACTTCTCTTATATTTCCTCTCCTTTTGCAATTTTTTTCATAATGTAGCAAATGTATATACCAAAATCAACCCTGCAATATGTGTTAAGCTAGTGACATTTAATGTGTTGTTTATTTAAATACCAATTAATGAAACACTTACGTGTCAGATTTCTCTTATGGACTTTTTTCGCATGGGATGATTGGTCGAACTATGTCATGTGTGTCGACAGGGGCGGAGACAGGATCTTGTCTCATTGTGGGCAACTTATTCATAGCTGATTGAAAAATAAATTTGTCTAATTAGATTCAAGTTTAAGAGTTTGTCATTAAATTCGTAACAAATGAGATAATATATTACACATAATCAAAATATAATCCATAAATCCAAATATAATCCAAACTATAATTTCAAAAAATAAATTAAAGCAATTTAATCTTAGGGAAGAAAAATAGCACTAACCAAGAATCTCAGATAGTAAATCTGAAAATATGCTTTAATAAAAATTCAAAATAGTTGAGTGGTGACCCAAGACGAAACAAAAAAAAAACCTGCATGAGTCCATAAATAACACATCAAACAACCATCAATTCTACAAGAGTTAAACTAATTTTCTAATATAAAAAATCTGATTTTAGATTAGTGCTAATACTACTATCAAAAAATTTGATTAATGGATTATCTCTCATTAACTTCAACATAATCTTCTAGGGTTTCTTCAAATTTGATTTGCACAATGATTGAATCAAATAGGGTGATTTATTGATGAATATAGCAAAAGAACTAACAAAGAAACTAAATAAAAGAAATAAGAGGGGTTGTCGGGTGGATGTCTGGACTGGAATGGAAGTCTGGACAAAAAAGACGAAGGCTTAAGGAAAAAAAAAACAGGCGTGAAAAAGAGATGTCAAAAGTTAGCTTTCAAAGGTTTAAAATTATATTAGTATACTCTATATTTTAAGAAAATTTCAGTGGGGTA